CGGGAGCGAGCGCCGCCTCGCCGCAACAACGCCCGGCATGGCCGTGGGGCCGCTGCCCGAGGGTCGAGGGGCTACTCTCAGCACCCAGGCCGGGGTAACAGGGGACCTGCACTAAGGCGAGGGCTGCGAGTCCGCCGCTGGCATCCTGTTGAAACGACCCAAAACCACATCATGGTGCGAAAAACCAGCCCCCTTCCCTGGTGCCAGGACAGTGGCTTGGACCAGGCATGAGAGTGGCGCTGACTCCTGCGACTGCAGGTCAGGCACACGGGGTACAGCTGTGGTTGCCGGCCACTCCTGGCCTCGATGGGGTGGTTTGGTGATGTGCAGGTGGTGGGTCTTGGCTCTGCTGGCGAGAGGGAATGGAGGAAAAATGGCGAAGCATCCCAAAGATGTGTTCATTGGAGTGGGGTGAGCTTTGAGAGGGAGGCTGAGATAAAATGTGTCTTTCCTGGTACATTTTCACATGCAATTGATGTAATCTGGTCCAAGGAGTAGTTCGTTGGGCAGCTGGCACTTTGCGGTACTGTGGACTTTGAGGCTGATGGTCCTCTACGCATGAAGAGTTTCGTTACTGTCTTTAAATTATTAAGTTACCTTTGTCCAGCAGCAGAAGTGGCAGCCCAAGGATGGCCCTTCTGTGCCTTCCCCTTACCTCTCATCCTCCATATTGACTCTTTGCTCTTCTTTGAAAACATTGCAGTTGATCAGATTTCCTTCTCGAGGCGGTTTTCTCATCTTCCTTTGATGACCTGAAAATTTCCCAGGCTCGTAGCATGCCATGTTGTTAGCATAAATGAACCTTTTCTCAATGGCCTGCGTGTGAAAACCGGTGCCAGAACTGAGCTCCTGTGCTAACATGCCCATTTGAAGCAAGAATGCAGTCCAGATGCCCAAAATATTAGGGTCAGTGATGCATCTGGATTCTCCTAGAGCTAGACGAGGCGACGCAGCGTATTTCTGAAACGCGGAGATTTGCGAGGAATGTGGCGCTGGTATGTCACTCCGGCATACGAAAGCCACCTGTGTTTGATTAAGGTGCAGTCTCGCTTTCAGGACTAGCTGGATACTCTTTCAAAATATTTTTCATAAGCCTTAAATTCCTGTTTGGGGATGAGAATTTGCTAGATCGATAGCCAGATAAAAACATGCTGCCTTAGTACGAGCTGATGCGTGTGCTGTTCAGGTAGGCTGTGCAGAGGAGTTAATGGCAGCGGGGAAGATGGCCTGTGTCGTGTGGCACCGCGTGGTCCCCGTGTGTAGATCTTCTGGATGTGTGGGGACTGTGCCAGGGTCCTGTAGAACCACCAAAGTTGGGAAGTTGGCTGCTGTTTTAGCAGAGTGCGAGCAGTATCAGCGATGCTGAATGTAAAGTTTTGGGATATTCTGTAACTGTCATTTTTAGAAGGTGCCTGGTTTGAGCCCCGTTCTGTGCTCTCTGAAGTTGCTGAGAGCTTTTCCATTGATTCTGCTGAAAACGAGGCATGAATACAATCATGGTGCAGAGCAAAAGTAGTGGTTTGTGATCTTAGAGTGCTTATTTACAGTGATAGTCACTTTTTTTCTTCTCATCTGTTTCAGCCGAACAACCTTGTTCACCTTGGAGCTACAGATATTGGTGATTTGAGATTTGAGCTCATTCCCCGCTGTGCCTGCACAAGCAAGGACCAGAAAAATGAATATCCAGGGGAAAGGCTTCCCCCTGGACCTTGGAGGAAGCTTCACTGAAGATGCTCCAAGGCCACCGGTTCCTGGGGAGGAGGGGGAACTCGTGTCCACAGATCCAAGGCCAGTTAGCCACAGTTTCTACTCCAGTAAAAGCGACGTGGTTAGAAATGAGACATCCACAGCAACACCAAGGCGCTCTGATTTGGATTTGGGGTATGAGCCCGAGGGGAGTGCTTCGCCAACTCCACCCTACCTGAAGTGGGCTGAGTCGCTGCACTCCTTGCTGGATGATCAAGATGGTATTAACCTCTTCAGGACTTTCCTGAAACAGGAGGACTGTGCGGATCTGCTGGACTTTTGGTTTGCCTGCAGCGGCTTCAGGAAGCTGGAGCCATGCGCATCTAATGAGGAAAAAAGACTCAAGCTGGCAAAAGCCATTTACAAAAAATACATCCTCGACAACAACGGCATTGTGTCCCGGCAGATCAAACCAGCCACAAAAAGCTTCATCAAAGACTGCGTCATGAAACTGCAGATTGACCCCGACATGTTTGACCAGGCCCAAACAGAGATTCAGTGCATGATAGAAGACAATACCTACCCTTTGTTCCTTAAGTCGGATATTTATTTGGAATACACAAGGACAGGTGGGGAAAGTCCAAAAATATATAGCGATCCGAGCTCAGGGTCTGGGACAGGTAAAGGGCTACCCGGTTATCTGCCGACTCTGAACGAGGATGAGGAGTGGAAGTGTGACCAAGAGGCCGAGCCTGAGGCCAGCAGGGACTCGGCGCCTTCCAGCAGGCTCACGCAGAAGCTGCTGCTGGAGACGGCCACTCAGCGCGCCGCCTCTGCTCGGCGCTACAGCGAGGGGAGGGAGTTCAGGTAGGTGAGCGCCGAGGCTGCGTTCCTTTTGCAGGGGGCCTCTGGGGAATGGATCGGGGAGCCGCCTCAGGCGCAGGGGTGATGGGAAGCCTTGGAGGACCTTGGGTGGTGTGGAGCACTTGGGCATGGGGGAGCATCTGCATCAGCACGGGATGGTGTTGTGCAGGTGTCTTCGGCTGTTCCTGTCTGATTGCCCCGGTAAACTGCTGCTGGACGTGGTCTGGAGCAGGTAGGGCTTGGTGGGCAGTGCAGAGCCGTGGGCAGTCCTCGTGCTCATGCAGGGAGTCGAGCGAGCCGCAGTGTCTGTAGCCCACACTGACAGCAGGTTGTTGTTCAGTCACAGGAACGCGGGCGAGTAGAGCTCATGGTAAAACTACTCTGTGTAAATACACCAGGAAATTGTTGGGATGAGCCGCAACTAGAGGCTGCAGGATGCTTGCAGGACATACCCTCACCTCTGTAATGTTTGCGTGGGTCAAACGGGATTCATGCTGCTCCCTGCTAATGATCCTGCTTTGCGCACGAGATTCCCGGCACTGAATTCTAGTGGTGTCAAAGTCAGAATCACTGAATCCAGTTAAAACCATTCCCTGTTGCAGCTTTTCCGTTCATCAAAGTAATGGCTGGTTTTTTTTAGCTGGAGAAGTTGCACAGTTTTGCAGGCTGTTTTTTTTCTGGGTCCCCCACCCACTTCCAGCCAACATGGATTTTGAAACTTGCTGAGAGCTCAGTTAAAATTCCAGACAATTAACTTAGCAGGGAGCTCTCTGGGATCAATAAGCGTGTGTGTGTCTAACCCTTGCTGAGTCAACAGAACCTGGCCAGAACACATTCCAACTTTTTTTTTTTTAATAAAATCTCCTTGTTTTAAGACCTGCTTAGGCTAAAATCTGACACTTTGTGAAGATTACGAAATGAAGTAGCTGTACTGTCCTCTTCAAAGCCGTCTGCCTTATGAAAAGCATTTCTGTGTTTAATCTCCCTCGGCTGTCCCTTTAGCCTGGCAGCTGGAAGCGCATCCCGCCCTGTGCAAGGTCTCGGCGCCTTTCAGCTGGCGAAATGTTTTCGATTTGATTCTTGTTTTCTTACAGATTTTGAGGAGGGGGATGTTGCATGTGAAACTCTTCAGGGGAGAAAAAAGGGGAATTCATGCAGACTCCCGCTGTTTTAATCAGGAGTCGGAAAAACAAAATCCCAGGGTCCTGGGACTTTCCCATGGAGTTAATAAAAACCTTGAATGTTTCTTGAAGTGCATTTTCACTGAGCAGTCAGGTACTCGACATAAGCGAAGGATTAGAAAAGTCCATGATTTAAGTAACTTTTTATTTAAGCGATAATGGCTTTAAGATTGAAAATAACATTTGAGGTTCAGCTGTGTTTACTTTCCTTACTAGAGCAGGTAGCAAGAACCCATGTGCAACACTGCGCTTTGCAGCCCTGGCTTCAGGAAAAAAAACCCTTTACCATTATCTGAATATATCTGTGTCAGATTATGAAATTGTTTAAGAAATGTGCTGTGAAATAGAAGCATTTTGGAGTAGAATTCCTCAGTCTTGGGCACTTTCATACCAGATTGGAACAGCATGAAATAAATCTTTATGTGAGGGATAGAGGTCAGAAAAAATGTGTTACTGTTAATTCGTAGTGTCCAACAGCCTGTCACTGTGGCTGCTGATGCTCCTGTCAGCTGGGGAGGCACAGAAACGCTTACCATTCTCACCAGTGCAGGAGTCATTTCTCAGCCTGGAGGTACTGAAGATAAGTGATGTATTTTAGTTTGTAAATGTTGGTATGTCAGCTCTAGTAGTGTCCAGAGCATCACGATGGAAGATGCTACCAAACTGTGTAATACCTGCGGTTTTTTTTAGTCACAAAAACCTGCTGAGATACTGAGGTGATTGTTCCTCTTCGTGCAAGACCTTGTGGTTGTATTACCTTACTTCCTGGATGTTGTATAGCAATAACTGTCTTGAGTAAGCTGGTTTTTAAGCTGTAGTGTCTTTAACCTGTAGACGTCTTTGTTCATTTACTTTCTCACCTGAGTGAGTGTGCTGAAAGCTTGTGGAGCTGCTTGCAGCAAGAAGCAATAGCTACGTGCAGCATTTGAAAGGCTGGGTCTCAATTTATTTTGGAAATTTCCACAACCCCTTTCTTTTGCATATGTGTGGAAGAATTTCTTGTTTCTGTTCTTGAGGGAATGTTGAAATAAGCTGTTTTGCATTATATCTGAGGGCCTGTTTAATCTTCCCAAGATTGAACTTCTCTTCCTTGGCTCCCATGGAAACCCTAAATAAAGAGGAATCTGAGCAAATGCAATAGAAGTATTTCTCTGTTACCAAATGAGCATCTTGAATTGGGTCCAAAATTTTTGCAGCGGAAAGTTCATAAATCTTGACACGGTAGCTCTGCTCTCAGGAGAGAAAATGTAAAGAATTCCTCAAAAGGCAGAAGACATATCGTTATTAGTGCTGGATATTTTGAAGGTGTGCAAATGTGCATGCGTATGTGAGAATATTCAAAAGCTGAAAGCATCGCCGTTACCCACTGTGTTTTTGTATGCATAGGAAAAGGCCAATAGTCATTATAGTTAGGCTCCTGCAAATTAATTGGACATTGGTTATGGATCAGTGAACTTCAAAGAGGGTAACCCCCGAAGATCTCGGGCATTAACTTGCAGCTTCCGAAAGTGACACTAACGTGGTTGTGAGGGCGGCTAAATCGTTCATTAACCTTCTTCTGACACGCCAGGACGGCGTTCCTTGGATCCTAAGAGCAGAAATTAAACTTGTGCCTAAGAACCACCCTGCAGCCTGGTTTTCGAGTGCTCCAGGAAAACGCACATGTCTTACAAAGCTGGAAATGTGGTGTTTGGTGGTGAAAGAGGACGGTTGTGTCTTTTATTGGGGTCGGTTTCTTCTGCCACTGCTTTAGCTTTGCATTAGGAGAGGTTCCCCTCCCACTGCCAAAGTGTTGGGGAGTGGTGCTCACAGCCATGGCCTTTGCTTTCTTCCGGTGGTGAGAAGGAAGAGGAGCACGAGGTGTTCTGTGTGAGCAGCTCTGCCATCGCCTCTTCCGAAAGACCAAGCTGGGAGACCTAGGTTAGTTCTGCCAGTTGCTTTGGATTTTACCCGTGTCATGAAGTGCACAACGTGTAGAAAAGGAGACCTGGAGGTTGGTGATGAGAGGATGTGTGGTGGTAGGTGAGGTCAATATTTTGGTGGAGCTGATAGGCACAGATGGAGAAATTTCCCAGTGGGGACTTTGATATACACGTGGGTTGTATTTTTTTAAAGGAGGCTGGCTACATGATCTAAGCTTTAATATCCAGAGTGCTGAGCTGACTAAGCTCATGGTATTTCACAAATGTTGGTGGCTCAGATGAAGAGGATGGGTGATGTGGTTCTCTGCCAGGGCTGGTGGAAATCACCGGCAGAGCCCTTCTGATGGTGCTGGTTCAGGGAAGATGCGGGATCTCTCCATTGCTTAGGCAGCGTAAATGGTCCAGTGGTCAGAAACTGGGCCTGCATCATAAGGAAGCTAAAATTTAGCTGGCAGGCCTAATTTTGAGGTTTGCTGCTTCATTGGTGTTTAAATATTAAATTGCACACTTCTGACTCAAGACTGTGTGGTGAAGGAATTGGTGTTAATTGCACTGAACGTGTGGAAAAGTGGGGGTGCAAAATCAACCGCTGTTGCAGGAGTAGTCTGTGTTTAGAAAGTTGAAGGCGTGCATTACATGTTAAAAGCAATGCTGCTTCTAACTAGAGAAGCAGTGTGTGCAGCTTGGAGCTCGGCTACTGGAGCTTCAGGAGAGGTTGCTTTCTGGAAAAAAGCAGCTACTGAATGTTATAGGCAAAGGCGGAAAGAAAAGTTTGGATGCTCAGCTTGACTTAGCTGGAATTAAAATTGCCGGGCCCATAGCACCACTTGTAATTGATACAAGCCTATTTGGAGTCTGTGGCTATTTCCAATTTTAAAGAAAATAAGTTACAGAAGAATAGTTTTGGTTCTGCATTGTTCCTGGGAGAAGTTCCTGAGTCTAACGGGGAGGTGGGGTCTGATGCTAATAGCGCTAAGTGGTAATTTAGTGACTCCAGTGCTGTAAGATATACAAGACAGAGACTGATGGTGTTTTTGCACAGAAGTTACGCCAGCTTTTTTAAATACATTGTTGAGCTGATGAAACTTCTATGTTGAAATGCTTATATTAACAGTGTAAAGTATTTATACTGGCAGTTGCCAAGTTTTAAAATGGATTTTATTTGAAGAAGAATACCTTTTGTGCCCGTAGCTTTGCCTCTACACAAATCAAGATGAAGTAGTGGTGTGTTTGTCATTTGGTTATGGATTAGTGCTTGGCTTCTTTTTGAAGACAGGTAGTTAAGCTTTAGGCACGTTCTTTTGATAAATGGATAGTGTTTTCTCCCCTGCTCCAGCAAGCAGCTACCTTATTTTGTTGTGATTGAGTTTTGCTTGGGTTACCAAAGCTTTTCTTTTAAAAGAATGAAACGGGAGTTAAACCTTCCACTTTTTGGTGCTGGGGAAGTTCAGATTGGACACTGGGTGGGCAAAAAATCTTCATGAGGTGTGCGATGCAACCCAGGAACAGGAACCAGAGAGGAGGGGATCTGCATCCCTGGAGGGCTTCATGGCTCCGTTAGACAGAGCCACGTCCCATCTGGTCCAGTTGGCGATGGTCCTGTGTTGATGGGCACTTACAATGCTGGCAGAAATCATGAGATACTGAGTTTTGAGAACTGAGTTGGAAGTCAGGCTGGTTTGGGGTCTGCCTGGTTTCAGAAAGAGTTTGGTGCTAAAAAGCTGAATGAGAGCTGAACCGATCCCAAGATGTGCACCTAGGAGGTGGGTCATGGTGCGGGTACACCTTGGTTTTGATCTGCCATTCAACCTCAACTTGGGTTTATGTTTTAAGAGTTTCTTTGTTGTTGCTATAATGGACTAATCCCTTGAATAATTAGTTACCACTGGATGTTTAAAAA